AACGTTGCATTTTTTGAGTGAACTACATTAAAACAGATTAAACCTATATAACCTTGTGGAAAGAAACATAAAGGCCCAGTTATTTGCACAAAGTTTAACCGAACCACGTCCTGAAATATCTTCAATTTAACAAGTAGTTAGTGTTAAGAACTGAGCTGAAAACGTAAATTGACCATCGTAAAGAGTTGAAAGCTGGCGTTTGGAGCGTTAGCCTTTCGTCAGAGCGATTAGAGGAATTGTGGATTGTGTGTGGGTTTATATGCAGAAAAATGGAGCTACGCTATTGGTGGGAATATGATGACGAGAAATCAAGAATAAATTAGTTGAATGAAAGGCGCTCGTTGTTGCCGTGGGGTTTAAGAGTGCCGATTTGGAGGATAAATTTTTCTTCTAGTGTTTTGCGGCTTTCTGAACCGCCTAGATGTAGGGAAAGGCCGCAAACTGCCGTATGTTGTTTAGAATGATTAGGGAGACTAAAGTGTCCAGCGACTAGTTTGGATGCGTCCTTATCATTTCTTTCTACTTCGTGAAGGTGTTCTCGGAATCGGTCACCTAGTTGTCTTCCTGACGAAGGGCTAACGCTCGAAACGTCAGCCTTTAAACTCTTTACGGTGGTCAACACAGTTGTTAACACTAAATTACCTGTTATACTCTCCCACCGACGCAGCACCACAGTTTCTTTAGAAACGTACCTCCTTTATTCATTTATCTTCAATTAAGCCGAACCTTTTATCTGAAGAGTAATTTTTGTGAAAAGAGTCAAGAGAGCTAACAGCCAACTGCAGAAGGACAGTTCTTGATTAAATCAACCCTCTTATAGAGAATGCCTAAGGCTCATTTTTTGTGTAAAACCGCGGTTTGGGTTAGACCTCGTTTAAATGAGCGGCCCCAAAGTCTGTAAACCAACGAGGCTCAAACTGCACATAATAAACTAGCCAAATGTACTAACAAAACTTGGCATGTGATCGCACGGAAATCAGTAAAGAGGTGCTGTTTATTTCCGAAACAGATTATAAAGAACATGAAACTGAGAGCGAAAAACCCAATAGTTTAATTTAATCTAAAAGTCATTCAAAACTTGGAAAAAAGACAGACTCGTGTTTTTATTGAATATTAATACAAATGGCCCATCCCCTGTGCTGTTTACGTTCCTTTCTATCTGTCACGGAATAAATAGTGAGTAGCAAAGCCAATCAGATAGCAGCATTTGCGATCGAACGTATATTTACACTAAACCCCAATAATATCAGCGCATGGGGAGAATAACAAGAAATTAGTTTGAAATATTGGGATCGGAATCAGTTACAGCAATTTTTATTTCATCACAAATTGAATCAGATTCCTCCATGGGAAAGAAGAATCCTTCATAATTTGCGTCACATGCAACTTGTGGTTTCGTAGTTCAGTTGTAAGCAGCACGGTAACTCATGAGGAGCTTTGGCCCCGAAAAGAATTCGCAGCACGCATTATACAGAGTCGCGATCATTTCTGTGACCAATGCAGAGAATTACTTTAACGCTTGCAGTCGGTAGGTGTCTATGCGATTATTTAAACCTGTTGATTTTAACTTAGGGCCAGTTTACATGGATGTGGGGGACCCCAGGTAGGTGAGGTGACCCGCCTAGGTGGGGTAACCCACCTTTCAATATAATCTCTCATTTTATCTTGATCACGTTTACATGATAGGTGGGGTAACCCACCAAGGCGGGTCACCTCACCTACCTGGGGTCCCCCACATCCATGTAAACTGGCCTTAAGTTAAAATCATTGCATTGGCGGGTTGCCTGGTCTGCCAGATAGGGTAACCCTGTCAGCTGGGGTGACAATTTGCCATGTAAACGTCTCAAAGTGGGGTAACCCGCCTAGCCGGAGTCACGTTCATGGCAAAAAGCTCAATAGCCAAACACATATGTTTTAAAACTTTGTACATTTCTTAACCGTCTCATGGCAGAAATCACCAGAAACCGCAACGGACACACAAGGAGTGTAAAAAGTTCACATTTTGGAATATTTAGCGTTGTAAATCGACCATATTTCGTTTCCCAAACTATTCCTTATAACGTATTTAGTCTACGATTCCTCGCGTAACCTAACACCGCGTAACACAACGCGGGACACTCTCATGAATAAATACAAATGTGTCCGAGAATTAATCTTTCGTCTTTCTCGAGATGTGATCTTGGGACGCCTATGCTGAAACTCCCTAATTTCAAACGCAACAACAACCTCAAGAAACCTCACCCCAGCACCCCGGGGTCGTAAGATTGCATGTAAACGCGTTTTATTTTTCGACCACGGCTAGGCGGGTTACCTCAACTACCTGGGGTCCCCCACCTCCATGTAAACAGGCCTTTAAAGGTTCACCTGATAACTAATACTTCATCTAATTAAGCGCGAATTTCAATTACGAAACGACAATAAATCTTGGACCGGAATCACTTGGCGCGATCTCATCTTGGAGGCCAAAGTCTTCCATTGATCGGCTGAGCTTTCTAGAGTTACGGGATACAATCTCAACCATATGTGGTGACGAAAAGTTAATGTGGAATCAAGCCGATTGCTTTTGCAAAGAACGAAATCTTTCATCGATTCCCCGATGACTGCAATACGTTCTGTCCTGCCTGCAGTTCTCAACCGCGCCAACAAAGTCTGTTCGTTAAATACCACGTCACCAAACATGTTGTATGCTCATTTGGTCTCTGTGCCGGACTAATTAGACAGCGAGAATTTCCTGCAGATGTATTCGTGAGGTCTCAAAATGTAATGTTGGAAACTGCACTATACAATTATTCTTAATTTGATCGACATTTATAGGTGATTACGTTTAACAAACAACATGTATGCGGCAAGTATTTTATCACCACTTATATGGCAATGTTCCACTTGCTTACAGCGGAACGTTCAGTGCGTGTTTTTTCGAATAAGTCGAGAGTTGCGAGTGGGAGTTAACCAAAGCGTTGAAATAGAATCGTTAAATCAAATGAGTAAACCGTGACTTGATTAGGAAGCGTGGTACAGCCTTTTCACGTATTCGACAATAATCCTGTTGAATTAAATCGCTCTCGACCGTACACTTTAGGCAGGAAATGCCTCTGGTCGAACAATCATGGGGAATTGCAGAGATGTCAGTCAAGAATAGCCAAGCTTGACAAAGACATTCGGAAACCAGTAAAGGATAATGATTAGATAAGTTAACGGTGGATGCCTCAACTTTCAGTCAAAAGAAAGAGTCCAGACAAAGAACGGTCTCCTGATATTAACTGATGTGAATTCAATTTTTTGTTTCCTACCTGAGGGTTAATTTTTAATATCTCCAATACCCTCTCGGGTAGTGCATACCTGAAGGTTATTTTTAATCTCTACTCTACTCTCCTGGGTAGTGTATACTACAGGGTGTATACTGTAGGGTTACCTTTAATCTCAACTATGCCCTCTTGTGTAGTGTATACCTTAGCGTTATTTTCAATCTCTTCTATACCCTCTTAGGTAGTGTATACCTAGGGGTTATTTTTTTCTCTTCTATCCCCTCTTGGGTAGTGTATACCTAAGGGTTACTTTAAATCTCTCTTATACCCTCTTGGGTAGTGTATACCTGAGGGTTACTTTTAATCTTTTCTATACC